TTCTCAGTGCAGAAACCAACGGTCAAAGTTTCAGGTGTAACACTATGGCGAAGTAATATGTCCCAATTACATGCAAGCTGCATGCACAGGTACGTACTTTGTATAAGGGTAGTGGTACATAATGAAAGAACAACACAAACAGGAAAAAAAGTATGTCATCTGGAATGCAGAGTTTGTCTTCCTGGTCCACTTACAATGAATGAAAAGGGGTCAAGAGGTCGACAAGTCATCAGACATGCTAACAAACAGGCGCTCATTCAACAGAGGAACGTGATCATTCATATGAAGTCCTTATTTGGCTTTACTTGCTTAATATTACTCAAAATTCACTCGTCTTTTGCTCCAATTGTCACTAACGTCTTAGAAAAACAGCTTTACCATTTAACGTAAGCTAAATGCTTTGGTATCTTTATCAGCCAGTTGCTAACTTTGTCAGTGTGAGGTTTGGTTCTGGGCAGGAAGGACATAGATATCAGAGTTTTTCAAATTAAAATCATGTTTTTGCTGCAACTGTGCTGCTGGAAACGATGTTAGGAGTGTTGAGAGCGAACCGGAACAAAAGAACTGAAGAAACAAAACAAAACGAGCAAAAAGATCCCAACCAGTTTTCTGCAGAGTCACTACAACTAAATGACAGGTTTAATCCATTGTTCAAATAGAAAATATGACTAAACCATGATTCATTGTTGGCTGTTAAGATGACCAGTTTATCATTGGTTCCAAGACTCAGATTTCTCCAAAATGAATCTGACTTTAACTACATTTATTTGTTGTAAGATGTTTTATTTTATACAGTTCCACCTCCATTTTGCATTTACTGTCACATCACATTTACAGTGATCTTTCCATTTATTTTTTATTTTTTCATCTTCACTAAAAAAGCGAAGCAAACACAGTTTGAAGGAACACTGCAAACTTCTTCTTCTTCTTCTTTTCATGTGCCCAGGATGAGCACCAAGGTCGCCCGCAAAGTGCCTGATGTCATCCCCGCAGCGTTTGATTGATTCAGACACAAAGAAACTGTCAAAGAGAATGAGACGCATGACTGAATACTGATTTTCTCCATCATTCCCCAACAGAAAGCAACTGTGCAGTCTATCGATGCCGGCGTACACCCCCGTCTGTGTGACTCTTCTGTCCCTCGTCCTCGCTCCAGCTCTAGGACGTAAGTCACCCGCAGCGCAGTGCACAATTATCGACACAAAAATCAGAGTACCTTCTTTTTTTGCATGGATGCCACCATTAGCGTGAATCCATTTGTCTCGAAAGCGCACACAAAGAGCTTAAATGTTAACCGACTGTCGCTCGGTCCGTTCTCTTTTATTAGAACTCACAAAGCAAAGGCCAGAAATAGCAGACACGCTGCGCTGGTCTGTGTCGGAGGATTAAATCAGATTAAACTTCCCCTCTGATAATCACAACAAACCCATTCTCTGCTGCCGTTTGGGGGAATCAATAAATCTTAACGTGAGCGCACAGCGAGAGCCAGATACAGTAGGTGTCCTGCTTTGTGAAATTCGCCTCATTATCGCGGCGCACACATGCAAGTGCATGTGACATCTTAACTGTGGTTCATCTCCAGCTCATTGCACTAATGACTGGCTTTCTGAGCGTAATGCCGCGGCAGGCAGTAACTTTAACAACTTGAGGCCCACATGCGCAGTCAGATAAGTGTTTAGTGGTGGTAAATATGGGATTATAAATACCGTCTCACCACTTTATCTCATTTCTCAGCAGTTTATGTGGGATGTGGGAACGGCCTCCAGATGTGTTGTGTTCACGCTGCTCATTGTAAATGAGCTGACTCAGGCTAGCGGCTGGGGAGCCCCTCTGGCTGTCACCGTGCTCGCTTCATGGAGTTTGTCGAGAGGCTTCTCCCCTTCACAACTTCAAGAGGAGAACTTAAGGATAGCGCCCTCCTCTGACACAACCCAGAAACTTTTTTTCAGCTACATGCAGTGACGATATTGTGTTCCCAGCACTAAGCAACCTGTTTAATTACAAATCACTGAGGCCTTTATCTATCACAGTTGTTGAAGTCACATTTTATACCAAAGACAAACTAGGGCTGTCTATATTACAAACATAAACTTATAGATTTTCCAAACAGTTGCATGTTTTTAATGATGAACCTGATGTATGACAGGCTGCAGTTTCCATCAAAATAGGCTTTCATCTCCATAAATCACATGTAGAAAATGTTTCTGATGACATGTGGCTCACACTATCTGCCGTATTCATCAGCATTGTGTTTCTGGCTCACGAGAGGTGTCTGAGAGCTCTGCATTATAAATCTGAAACACTGCGCTGATTAGTCTGTGTTCATGCTCGGGGATGGATGATTACTGAAACACTGTAACAGAGCCCTGCATTAAAAATGCACCAAAGTGCATTGTGATGTTAATCCACTGTGACATTAAAGACCTTGCTTTTTTTTTCTTGTAGCCGTCTCCTAGAATACGCCGACTGAATTAAGCTGACCAACAATGTATTTGTAAAATTCAGAAAAAAAACAAGCGTAAAAAGATTATTTCTTTTTGTTTCTTCCTGTCAGAACTCGACCTGAACAGACTGGACGGCGATACCGTCTGCCCACCAATGAGAAGCGGACAAGATGACCTTCCAGGTAAAACACTCGTCGGGGCACCTGGCAAGGTTGTAGTCACACAAAAGTGAAAGCAGCAGCGGCTGTAAAACCACAAGGTGAAGACTTCAAAATCTCCAAAGGTTAAAATAGAGTATTGAAGGAAGGCTGGTGAGTTTAATTAGTTGAACAGGGTGGGCCATCGAATGCCTCGAGGCACCTTTAGATTTCAAATGAGCCAAATAAAATGTTCCACTTGAGTTTTACACCACACGACTCGGAACAGTCTGAACTCAGCAAGATTGTAATTGCTCACCACTGCTCACTCCTTCAACACATCTGTGCACATTCTGCTCTGTGACTGGATTAAGTAATGCCTGTTTTCTTTTTTTTTTTGTTGGTAAAAACAAAAAAACATTCTTGTTTTATATGTTGTTTTGTTTCCTTATTTCATCGCCTCAACATAAATATCCTACGACCGCAAAATAATAAAATACATAATTGTTTTCTCTAATCCACTTATGTTAAAGAAACTTTATCGGCAGTTCTGTTGAGACATTGCAGTCACAATTATAAAATAATGTATAATCTCATTACAATTATTTTTTTTAGCTTTTTGATATAGATGTAGTGTGTTTTTTTTGTCTCTATACATGTGTACTGTGATTTTGAGCGGCTCTTTTTGTGTGCTATATAGTATAGTGTACAATATAGAGCGCAAAAATATAAAAAAATAGAAGAGATTTAAGTATAAAATAAGATAAGTTATATATACAGTATAAGTTATCTAGTTAAGTTAGCTTTCTGATAGTCACCAGAAAACAAAAAATAAAGTAATTTCCATAATGTGTAAACTCACTATTAATAAAGAGAAAATTATTCCATAAAGTATTATAAAAAAAAACTGTTATCATTGCTAAATACAAATTTAGCAGCAGCCCCTCTAATACATCCATAAAAACAGTCGTGCTAATGATATTATTATTATAGCACATAATAGTAAGAGTTTTTTAATGTAATAAGACCGTCACTGTGCCTTATCATTACTGCTGGTATTAGTAACTATGTGGTTTAATTTCATTCCAGTGTCGACGCCACAGTTATTGCTGCTGCTACAAAAAAAAAAAAAAATCACCATTAATGATTTTGTCACACACAGGTTTCGATCTGATCACTCAGTTCCAGCTGGACGTGATTCCCCTGAAAGGCGTGAGGAAGGTGGACGGCTCCACTCCCCTCCAGGTGGCCTACCGTCTTGACAGGGAGGCCAACTTCCAAATTCCAACCATGTAAGTACAGTAAAAAAAGCAAACAGATAAAAACACACACAAATGTCAAGCAGCAGCAGCAGCAGCAGCAGCGGTCGGCTCACGCAGGTGTTGCATTATTACAGGTCCGGCACAGATGTTACTGTGAGCTGAGCAGCATATAATTGGTAGAAGAAAAACATGTCTGGACCTATTTGGCATTTCTTTTTGACACAAAGACAGAGAAGAAGTATTTTGTGTGGGTGTGTGTGGTTTGAGTGAGTGGGATTGGAAAAGCATCTTGGACTCTGTTTGAAGCCTTTTTGTATTTCCAGCAAATGTAAAGAGCCATATTTCACCTTCTTCAGGGTGATTTATCTTGACTTTGGTATAAACATATAATAGCGTGTGCTGACAGCAGCACTGGTTTCCTGTGAAGAAATTCACGAGTTTGTAATTAAAGGTGATCAGTACCAACCTGGTGGGTTTAACTCCACTCGGGAGCCCAGAGGCAAAACAAATACGCTGTGGGCCTGAGAAACCCGACCACCATCATTACTGAGGAATGCTTTGTGGCCATAATTTATTTTATTTAAGCATTTACATGATTGTACTTCTGTTTTAAATGTGATATTCCCTCCTATTGATTTTATGTGTTTTTATCTTTCGTTTTATTTTTTCTTGTAAATTTGTCACTTTTAGTTTGTATTTGGAGTGAATTATATGCAGCACTTTGATTTTGTGAAAGCTATCATTCAGAGTATTTTTGAAATATTAAATAATATTAAATATAAATTTATGTCAATTTCAAAACACTACTTATTTAAAGAGATACTCAGTTCAAAGAGGAGGGCAGGAAGTGATTTGGTATTTTATTTACATAAAGATGGACAACTTACCATCACTTACCGCTCAATCTACGTCCCAGCTCTCACCTATGGTCATGAGATCTGGGCAATGACCTAAAGAACGAGATCGCGGATACAAGCGGCCGAAATGAGTTTCCTCCGCAGGATGGCTGGGCGCTCCCTTAGAGATATGGTGAGGAGCTCGGTCACACGGGAGGAGCTCGGAGTAGAGCCGCTGCTCCTCCACATCGAAAGAAGCCAGTTGAGGTGGCTCGGGCATCTTTTCCGGATGCCTCCTGGACGCCTCCCTGGGGAGGTGTTCCAGGTGCGTCCCACTGGGAAGAGACCTCGGGGAAGACCCAGGACATGCTAGAGGGACTATGTCTCCCAGCTGGCCTGGGAACGCCTAGGGGTCCCCCCTGGAAGAGCTGGAGGAGGTGTGTGTGGATCGGGAAGTCTGGGCGGCTCTGCTCAGGCTGCTGCCTCCGCAACCCGACTCTGGATAAGCGGGAGAAGATGGATGGATGGATGGATGGATGGATAACTTGCAAAAAAAAAAAAAAACTTCAAAGAATCCCAAACTACTGGATCCTACATTTGTAACCTGTAACATTGCCAAGAACAGATTTAAAGTTCCTCTCCATCCATCCATCGATTAAACCCCTAAAAACGCATCACAGTCACATATCTATGAGTTTTCCTTCCTGCTTTAAAATGGTTGAGATGTAACTCTATATTGTTACTGCCTCTGTCTGCCCGTCCCTCCCCACTCGCTGCAACTCAAGCACACCAGCTCAAACACTACTCTGTTACATATGAAACCCTGTAAGTCTGTGTTTTGGAGCTCAGCCGGGGTGTTGGCAGCTTATTTTGCTCATCATGTGTCTGCTGGCATCTAAAAAACACCCAACAAGGATGTGTTAACAAGGTAAAAAAAACAAAAGAAGAATCTCACATGAGAAATGATTCTAAGGGCAAGTTGTCTTTTTACTATAATTTCTAAGCGGATTTACAGACATTTATTTGAATTGATTTGCTTTCTGTTTTTGGGACGTCCATGTCATTCCATGAAATTTTAAATCCTTTTAAACTGCCACAAAGCACGTGTCACATTTGATCCCCTTCCCCTGTAAAGTTAATCCTGTCCACATGGGACTATAGTGGGCCCGTGGACGCCCGCTCTGGGGCTGGTTTGCACTTCATCTTTATGATCAGAACCGTTTTTTTAAATACATTTTAAAGGTGAGGTGTTAAGAACATCACTTCCAATAAGTGGTTTCAGGACAGAGTGTGCAGGTTAAAGACTTTACTAATGTTATATAAGCAGAGACATCCCCTGGTGTTTCCCAGTGTGCCTGCTCCAGTCTGTTTGGGCTAATCTTTTCCTGCAGGCCAGCTTTCCTTAGAAGCTGTTATGTAACTCGCTGGCACCCTGCGTCTACGCCACTCGGGCCTGTCACACTGAATGTAAATACGTGTTTATTTCCCCTACCAGTCCAGTTGCACAGACTGCGCTTTGAAGTCCGCCCTTGCTTTGGCTGCACTCCCTCCCTTTCCTTCTGCAGGGCAAAAGCAGCACATACTTCAGACTCTGTCACCTCAGGCGAAGCTTGAGAGAGGGAGCGAGGTCTTCATTTGTTTTATTGGGTTACAGGAAACTCCTTTTTTCATTGCCTCACCTTGATCGTTTACAAGATGGTAAAAGTCCGGCTGCAGCGCCCATCTATGAACGCACCACCTACTGAGGATCTGGCTTGTTAAAAACACACAGAAAGCAGCAGACTGTGGATGCTAACCAGCGCTGCATGTTGTAACTGAAACCACTGATTTATGCACTCAGACAGCCTCTCTCACAGCATCTCATTTGTGATATAATAGCATGCCTTTAAACCTGCCGTTGCTCCTTTGAAGCATATAGCTTTCATTTGAATCTCTAAGGCCACGATGACAAGCCTTTGAGTTATTTTCATCCAGATCTTGATTTGATGGTGATTTTGCTGCGTTCTGTGTATTTTGTGAACATGAATTAACTTTGATATTAGTCATATTTGGAGAGCTTTAACATGACTGACTGTGAGACGTCTTTGAGTGCTTCCTTGGAGATGCAGTTTGGCAAATCTGAATTTGAACCTCTGCTTCTCCTCAGGCTGAACTTTCCTCGCGGCTTCCCTGATGAGTACTCCTTCATGGCCACTTTCCGCATGATCAAGAACACGGTGAACAAGGTGTGGAACGTCTGGCAAATAGTCGATGAAGATGGCTACAAACAAGCTGGACTGAGGCTGAACGGCGACCAGCAGGCTCTTGAGTACTTCCTGATGGGCGCAGATGGAAACCTGCAGACCGTCACCTTCCCCGGCCTCTCTGTGCTCTTCAACACAAAGTGGCACAAGGTGATGATCGGCGTGGAGCGCGACCAGGTCACGCTGTATGTGGACTGCCAGCCCGTGGATAAGAAGCCCATTAAGGGCAAAGGCCCCATCAACACAGAGGGAGACACTCTTATTGGCAGACTGGATGCTGATCCCGACGCCTCCGTAGTGGTAAGCAAGGATGGAGAATTGCCTGCTGCATTTAATAATGTTCACCGACTCTCACTCTTACAAGCATTGTCAGGGAAATCGTGCTCTCTGCAAATAAACACGTTCAGGTTTATGTGTGTGCTGAGCTCGGCTATAATTCTAAAGTGCTGCTGTCACAGCAAAGCTGCTCAGCTGGGTTCCAGTGGGGGGGAAGAAAAAACTTAATCCCTGCAGAAAATCGCATTGGTGGAAAATCATGCTCAACAGCCCATATAGAGGACATTGAGTCAAAACTACAAAGGAAATAACTGCACCCATAGCAAAGCATTTGAAGTGACTTTTTTCTGTGTAACATATCGAAATGACTCCATAGCCTGATATTGTATACGCAGTAACATGAACATCTCTTTTCAGTTTGAGCTCCAGTGGATGTTGATTCACTGCGACCCGAAGAGAGCCCAGAGAGAGAGCTGCAATGAGCTGCCTGCTACTGAGGTACAGTAACAAGGACTCTGGACTGCTCAGCATGTGATGCGGTTTGTGGTTTTATTCAGGTTGATGGAGCTTCTAGCATGCTGAAGGCGAGCAGCAGAACTGCTGAGACGGAGCTGCAGAACTGTAACAAACACTCTGTCGAGCAGCTTCAGTGTTGCTGCATCCAGAGGTTGCAGTTCATATTGGATGAATTAAAGATTTATTTTGATTTTATTTCATTTTGTTAGTCAAGCAGAAAGTAGTAGCTGTGGTGCTACAAACATTTCTTGGAGGCAGAGCTGTTGGAGCAGATATGATCTCATTGAAAGCAAGTGTTAGACGTCAGTGCATGGAGCCAAAACACAAAGTCCAGTCAGCTAACTGACAAGTTTTAACAACACAGGAAGTGTGATCACATCAGAAACCCAACCTGCAAAGTGCGGGCGGTGCCACACTTTTGTGGCGACGTTTAAATTCAGCACAGAAGAATAAAACACGCCAGATGACATCAACATCATAAAAACAACAAACAGCTGAGCGAGCTACTGCACGACACCTACCAGCAACAACATGGCTGTGAATGGTTACTTCTAATCCGTAACATTAATGCGCTGACTTTGCCTGCACAAAATCTGGTAGATAATGACATAAAATTCTCAATCATGGACACTGACAGGTTAACGATGCCTGTTTTAAAGTATTGCTTCAGAAAAAGTCAATGGAAACAGTAAAATTCAGAAAAAAAGAATCCTGCATTCCCCAAAACTTTTTTGACTTAAAACCAAATTTATTTTTTAAAATATATATATATATATAAATCCTGGGAGATGAAATCACCTTTTTTCCAAATAGGTTTTCATGTGGACAACATATAACTCACTTAACTGATCAGTATGAAAGAATAATTAGAACTTGAAAACAGTTCCCGATAACATTTTTTTATTTCTTGCTTGTTGATGACCAAAGTGTTTGGTTTCTTCTTTAAAGTTTGTTTGTTTGTTTGTTTATTTGGCAGTTAGCAAACAACAGGTTTTATTTTTTTATTCTTTTTTCAATGATTTAAAAGTTCATTTCTAATTTGCTTGACAGTCGTGCCCTACCTGTGATAGGTGTCCTGGTTCTACTACCTGGTGCCAGGTGATGATCAGCTGACAGTAACACACAGCTGCTGCATTAGAAATGTTTTTTCTCCACCCATGTTGCTTAAATGTGCAGCAAGCTGGCAACCCTGTAGGAAAAATACTATAAATCTAATTGACTTATTTACTCACCTCACTGTATTTGTGATTATGGACTTTGTAAAGCATCTTTGAGTGTCTTAAAAAGCACCGTGTAAGTATTATGGATTATGGAAGGTCAGCACCAGTAATAAAACAGACTACAGGTGACTATATCCAACTTTAGGTTGGAAAAAGTTCAACCAGCTCAGTGTGGACCTTCGCTCGCTATCGCCAGCAACAGAAGCAAAAGCCTTTAAAGTTAGCTTCTGACTTCCCTTTTTGAATCTTATACAGAGCTTCTGTTCTTTAAACAGAGAAAAAAAATAATTGCTAGAAATAGCTAGAAAAGCTAATTGTCAGAAATAGCATTTTTAAATGAGGCATGTTCAGATGGCCTGCAAGTTNAAGCTAATTGTCAGAAATAGCATTTTTAAATGAGGCATGTTCAGATGGCCTGCAAGTTCGCCTTGCTCGCTGCGAGCTTGCTTGCCACACACAAGTCAACTGTTCCTTGCGTTATTTTTCTTCATTCCATCTCTTTTTGCTTTTCATCTGGTTGCGTTTATAAAATAGATCCATAAAACCTCTGGCCAAGCACAGAGTTTTATGCTCAATCAACATTGAAATTACATGGATGCACAAATTCACAGCGAATTTGCATTTTTATGCTTTTGCAGCAGGTTTGCCATCTTCAAATTTCAGTCGGGTTTCTGTCCGAATGCACCAAATCTAGCATTTGCTAAATAATTTCCTGATGGAAGTTTTGACTTTTGATATATTTTGTGCCAACAACTGAGCTGTACCTTTATGCCTCTGGAAAAGTCAGAGTCTTGTAAAACCAATTTGGCACTAAGCAGAATGAAAGTCCCTGGATAGGTGAACAGATATTTTCTGTCACTTTTAGCAGTGACATTCAGGTGAGATCTTTATTGTTCCACAGAAGACAGCAAGTCAGCATGCAAAGACAAAAACACAAGACATCTGAAGATACCACCAGCGCTGGTACTACTGGAGAAATGCAGCAATCTGAGAGGTGCATGATAGAAGAAGCAGTAGAAAATGAATCGATAAATGAAAAAATATTGCACATGGAATCGGTGACACTGAAAGACTGCTGCACCTAATTTTTGAACGTTGGACGTCCGTGAAGGAGAACTTTACCAGTGATCCTACTTGTTTTGTACAATTACATTCCCAAATGTACAAATCAGTAGAAAGGACAGATTCGCTCCGTTGTGTGCCTGTCAACAACTGTCCAGTTGTACAAAGCTTGAACACTCAGTAGTTGGAAACACGAGTGGCCACTTAATCATCCATAATCTTCAGATATTTCTCATGTACTAATGCAAATTGGGTGAGATATTCTGTTTTTCAGCCAAGTTTATAGGACAATTTATTATCCTGAAATGAAGAATTACACACACACACACACACACAAACACAATGAACAAGGCCCGTGTAGAGTTTATGACATTTATGATTAAATATTATCTTTCACTTCTGTGCGGCTGTAATACAATTAATGAGAAGTCTGCCTCTGAGAAATGCTTGTAGCCTGCAATGAAAATGCCACTCTGCTGTCTCGTTCTCTGTGAGGTCTGCAGCCTTAGCCACAGTTTTTTTTTTTTTTTTTTATTCAATCACATGTATGAAAATGTAAATGACTGTGCCCCCTGTAGATTGACACATTTCCTGGCCTGATGCACTCTATTAGATTTCAGGCTAACACGGGGGGAGGTGTGGGTACCGTGTATGGGGCATTTAAATGACAGCATGGTATTACTCACTTCTATGATTGTGAACAGGTGCGCTTCTGCTGACACTTTTGGTGAGGGTGGTGTGACTACTTTCACTAACTCTCCCCTTATCCGATTTCTCTTGCTTCTTCAGATGTATGCCAATGCTGAGGTATTTATTTTTCTACTCCTACCTTTCTGTTTGCTTTGTGATTTTTTAAGCCAATAATCTTTTTCAGTGCTGCCTAATTGCCTCATTGCTTTATCCTACGTCTAATTTACGGTGGTGAGTTTGTTGGTTTGCTTGTTTTTAGCAGGTAGACCATTTCTACACTTCTACGCTCGTCCACATGTGCCGTGCAAACTTAATTTTAGCTGGCACAGACTTACTGTACGGTGAAAATACCGGAAATATCTGAAAAAGAGGCTCACTTTGGGCTTTAAGAGGACATTGTAAGAAGTTAAGACATCATTGCTGATTCTTTATAAGTATTAAAACTGAGAGTTTGAATTCACTTAATTCATTAGTTCCCAGCATTTGTCTAATTGTCTGTGCTGTTATAACGAGATGATTTTTTTATTTTTTTTTTAGCTGATTAATCAACGTGCTTCTTCAATTCTTGAAGGTGTAATTTGTCATGACGTCTTTGGTGCTTCTCCCATTTGTTGACTGTTTGTCTCCTCTTCTCAGCCTGACAAATCAGTCCAAGGCCCCCCAGGTGCCCCTGGTCCAGAGGGCCCCCGAGGGCCCCAGGGAGAAAATGGTCGAGATGGAAGAGATGTAAGCACCTCCACCATCACATCAGCCATTTGCTTTGAACAAATCTACAAATCCACCTCTTTACTTTCTGTTAACATAGAGCTGGTATGTTTCTGTTTTCTTTTTCTTTAACTGCTTTAATTTGTCTCTCCAGGGTCTTCCAGGGTCTCCTGGCAGTCCAGGCTCTCCTGTAAGTATCAAATGCAAAATAGTTTGCTGAAAATGTACCTGCAGGCTGTTGATGTATTCTTCGTCTTCTTTGTGCGTTTGTTTGCTTGTCACGACTCCTCAGGGAAATGATTCACTTCATGTGTTTGTTCAAGCCGTTACGCAGTTTCAAACCAGATCTGTCTAACACAATGCGACTCTGCATCGTGGACTATCTTTCCAGTGATGACTCTTCTTTGTCGGCCAACCCTGACAGTACCTCTGCTGTGGGTCCCCGGCGAAGAATTCCTGTAATATTCTGAATTAATTAAGAAAACATTACCCGTAGAGGCTGCCTTATGATATTCCAACACTATAAAACAACCAGAACCACAATGAAAGCTTTATGTAACAAAACAACTCAACTCCCTCTTGACACCTGATACCTGATTAAGACTTATAGGCTCACAGAACTCATAACAGATGTTTATGATCTATACTCATAGACTGCATTTAAAAGGTGGACATAGTCTCTGGGTCTGAAAAGTGAAGCCAGTCTAGAAATTAACCTGCATTCTTTCTCACAGCCAGCAGGGGGCGACTCCACTAGTCGCAAAAAGAAGTCTGATTGTATAGAAATCAATGAGAAAACAACTCTGCTTCTCTCTTGATCTGTTATCTCAGTAAAACATGTTCCTCAAACTTTTTGGAATACATAAAGATGATCTTTTCGTGAGTCATGATCCCATTTGGAGTAAAATCATAACACAGGCCATGTTTCAGGGCAGCTTTTATTGACATGCAGCTGACGTATTGATGTGCACGCCATCCTTACTCTTTATTCACTAAACTAAGAGGCAGTGGCCAAATTACAAAGTCAAAGCTTCAAAGCAGTAGTCCAAAAACCGATGACTGATGTGATGGTACATCTGTCTTTTATATACCATCTATACTTATACATCCATCCATCACTCCAGTTTCTCTGTTCAGTGACAGCAGACTAACAGTAAAAACCTGCTGAGTGCAAGACAAAGCTCATCCTGATTTATTACGTCTCATTATCTGTGGGATGTGAATGAATTATCTGTCAAGTTACAGTGAGGTGGCACACAATGAGGACTGACTAGTGGCAGGCAACATCTGGCTTGTCTAGCCAACCCTTTCATCTGCACACAAATATTATGTTGTCATTTGTGTGTGAGTCATATAGCTGGGTCACTACGGTCAACCATAGACTGTATAAAAGATGGACGTAGCAACTGACCCTGAAAAATGAAGCCAACCCGGAAGTGTCAAAAACCTGCAATATCACTACGTCCACTAGCTGCTGGCTCCACAAAGCTCTGGCTCCCATAGACTTGAATTGGAAAAGAAGTGATCACAGATCATGAAATGCTGCATTCCTCCAGCTCAGGATTTTTTTCTTATTAGTTTTCATGGTCAAGTCCAGAGATCAGGTGGCCAATCTGAAAATAAATCAATACTGAATGTTTAAAAAATCGTCAACATTTTGCGGGGCAAGGGGCGTGGCTGGCTTGATTGACAGTCGGCAGCGACGATGCAGACGACGCGAGCAGAAGGCGGTAAATGTGGGCGGGCAGAGAGGGTCCGCCTCTCAATCCGTCTGACCAATCGCTGCTCCTATGGCTCCGCCCCCCTCCCACGATTTTTGCTTCACTGGCTCCAAAAATCCAAGATGTCAACCAGGAAGTAGCAAAACCCTGGCTTCATTTTCTCAGTGCAGAAACCAACGGGTGACGTCACGGTAGCTACGTCCATCTTTTATACAGTCTATGCGGTCAACTCAAACCGTCAACACTTTCTGACATATGTTTTGTAAAATGGCAAAGTGGCATATATCCAATATAGGAAGAGAACTCATATACGTAGGCTGGCTTAACACTTCATTGCACTATTAAAGTCCAACTGATTAATTTAGCATTGACCTATTTAGTACAATAAACTTACTACTAACAGCATTTCATTTAGTCACAGAACTTGCATCTTAACGCGGGGCACATATTGATGTGAATTTGTTTTATGTAGTGAGCTAAACAACTCAACAAGTGTATCTTTAATTAACTGGTTCCATCGATAACTGCTCCATTTACCTACGGGGAACAACAAACCTTCACCACTGAACAAGTCCGCACAAACCCCACTAAATAAGTTCCACAGTTTGGTCCACAGGAAAAAAAAAAAAGTTTAGTCTTGGTCAGGATAAGAGAAGAGAAGAGGATCCATCTTTTAAATACGTCCCAGTGGTGGAAAATGGAATCTACATTTACTCCAGTGCTGTTCTTATGTACAAAAGAAACTACAGTTAAATTGAAAATATAATTCTTTTTCCCCATTAGGGCTTTCATTTTTCTTTAATGTCATTTCATGTCGTGTTTGTATGAATTAACAAACTGCCCTCCTGTATGTAGATACCCTGTGGGTAGTTCAAGTTAGAAACCTGTTATGACCCATACATGTGTGTTTTGTTCATCTTATAATGGTCATAATTACAACAGATGCAAGCAGAAATTCAGGTGTTGTAATTATACACCAACAAAGCCCATGTAGGGAGGAGGTCGGGGTGGATGGATGGGTTGACAAAATATTACACTACGTACCCACATACCACATACCATCTTGATTTTATATTTTGTTCTGATTCTAATTCCTCAAATTCACTCGGATGCAACACATATGCCTTCAATATTTTGTCAAATTTAAAGAAATATTTTGATTTACAATAAAGTGACAGCTATTGTATTCATTATATAGCTGTAGTGGTAACTAGTTACTTACTAGATAAAGTTTTTTTTTTGTTATTAAAAAAACAACAACAGCAGCACTACAAGTACAATATTAAAATACTACATACGCGCTCAGACATCAAAAATAATAATAACTCAGTGGTTTAACAGGAAGATGCGCTTTTCACTACCTAGTGAGCTGTTTTACTTTTGTATTTTGATGCATTTTATTGATAATAGTTAATCTAATATTAGTAATATGATATTCTTAATATTAATATGATATGTTTGCATCCAGTGGGGCTGCACTGTAGACATTCCTATCCACATGGGAACGCAGTTCATTCTGTGTACATCCAATCCCGTTACTGTACTGTATACTGGGTGTAATACTAATCTAGTTTGGTCACAAATAGCTCTACAAAATGCATGTGCACTGATAAATAATCCATCTGAAGTTTTATAAGAGCTGTTACTGACTGAAGGAACAAGTTTACTGATGCTTCTGTCATTTACGGTCGCTGGTTCCTGGTCCGGCCCAGTTATTGTCTGCATAGTCTTACACAAGCTGGTGCTGTGGTTGATCTAAGAAACATGGAGAGCAACCCACCTTTCATTGATTAAACGTTGACTGGCTCTTGCCTCTGTGTATCTTAGCAACAGTGCGGGGAGATGCAGGAAGAAGATAAGCTGTTTTATTGTTGTTGTGTCTGTTTCCTAGGGCAGCAAAGGGGAGCAGGGGGAGATTGGTCTTCCTGGACAGAGAGGCCTGCCTGGACTTCCAGGACCTGCTGTAGGGAACATCACCTGACACACACTATTTATAACATCTGTCAGTGCTGTCCATGTGTGTTGTACTTGGTCATATTTCTGTCCAAACATGTAAACATTACTGCAAAATTCCAAATGGTGAGCGGGTTTTTAGAGGCGTCTTTGGGATTAACTTCATGAATAAATAAATACACACAAAGATGCTTCGTCACAAAGGTGCAGAGTTTGCTGTATGACTGATTGATTGTGTGACGGTGTGATGATAGGAAGGATTTCATGTTGATTTGACTGTGTTTGCTATCTGCAGGGCTCTCCTGGTTCAATGGGTCCCAGAGGGCCTGTAGGAGAGAGAGTGAGTCAACATTTAGTTTCCTTCAGAATCATCCAGTTACAAGAATTATGATTTATTTATTTTTTACATAGAAACATAGAAAATGTAATTGATCTTCCTTTGCTCTTATTGCAGGGACTTCCTGGCTTTCCTGGACCTGCAGGTCCTCCTGTAAGTGGAAAAATATCTTAGCAAAGCTACAAGCATGTTTGGAAATTGTCTAACATGTAGATGATAATTTCTTGTTCTGTCTTTGCTTTTACAGGGCCCAGCAAGTGAAGGACCGGCTGTATGTGCTTTCCACAGTTTTTGTGTTTTGCTTTATCCTTAAACATCATTCATACGTGCCTATGCATTGCTTGATGTGCTGCTGTATTACCTGGTGTGTGTGTGTGTGTGTGTGTCTCTGACAGGGACCTCCAGGGAAACCAGGAATCCCAGGAGATGAAGGAAACATCGGACCTGAGGTCAGAACATTTGATGTGAATTGATGTAGAGTCCAGACTCCTCTAACCAGGATCCTGTGGGGATTTTGCAGAAGCTGTTTATTACAACAGTGATGGTTCTGGTAATTTTGACAGGAGCAACATGGGAAGTGAGATGGTTTTAGTGCATTAAAATCCATGTAAGGAGGAGGTCAGGGTGGATAGATGGACTAAACAAATCTTGAACTTTAACATGGGAGACTGCTGTTGGTTTAACATTTCAAAACAACAGTTGATAGATTTGTATTGTTGATGATGTGTTTCTGATTTGCTGATATGCATTTGATATTAAAGTTGTGATAAAATTGCAGGGCCCACCTGGACCCAGAGGGACGGCCGGTGCCGCAGGGCTTCCTGGTCCTCCTGGTCCACCAGGGCCTGTGGTAGGAACCAGAACTAACACGTGTTTTGTTGATCTACTAATTTATCATTTCATATGTACACTACAGACAACACGCATGCATACATTGCATTTCAAGGCCTTTTTACTCTTTCATATTTGAGAGCATATATGCAACATTTGGAATTACTGCCTCTGATTATCAATATTGCCCCACTGGGCTACAAGTGGACAATTTCCAAAAAGTAAATTACATGTCATCATTTAAGCTTTACATTTGTTGTTACGCTGGGATGCAAAATTACTCCAATTACTTCTGTTTTGGCGTCTCAGCAGAACACGCTCACAAACCAACATTATGCAGACCTGCACTAAGCAGTATGCAATTAACTGCATCATCCTAAAACTGTATCATCAGTATCTGCATGTCTTTTAATTAAAGCCCAATATCAGCCTCATGCTGTATATTGACCATCTGCTTTACAGGTGTAACCTCAATAGCCTTCACACTCATTTGCCCTCTCTGTGTGTACACTTCCTGAGCTCCGGTTTCCATGTGAAATCGTGGGTGCATGGCGATGTTGCATGCTGCTGTCTCTTTTCACACATTCACACTTGGAACTTGGTGCTGTGGTGGATTTATGTGGACATCTAAACCCCCCCGCGGCTGTTTTAGATGTCACTCTGCTGTGTTTTAGGGACCTCCCGGTGCCAGCAATGAGGGAAGTGGGGAAGCTGTGAGTGTTTTACTGTCTTACATGCTGCCAAATGTTTCCTGGATGCATGGCAATTGGAGTGGTGACAGTGAATTTCTGATCAGAATGAGTCACTCGAGCTAAAGAGGCTGTGCAGCATCTCCCCTTGTTGAGTATGTGCCTGTGTGTGTATGTTTGCAGTGCCCTGCTGCCTGCCCTGCTGGACCTCAGGGAATGGCCGGGCTACCAGGGATGAAGGTGAGGAATGTTAATGAAGGATGTTCAGTGACTCGGCTAATTTAAAGCCAAGACGGACTAAATCGTTTAAATTAGTTTTCTTGTCAGATAAGGGAAAGGTTTCCAACGTTAAGATCAGCATGAGACTGGAATAAAAATTTCAATTTACTGTATTTCCACTTTAATTTGATTCTGCAAGGGTTGGAAACTATTCAAAGAAGCTACGTCGTGGCTGAAGCAGATCAGAAATTCAGAGGCCTTCACAAGGATCAGATGACTGACAGAAATGCATTCATGACTGAAACCTAGACAACAAATACTAACAAACATGGACATCATCAGATAGATCATATGAATTTTTCAGCTTTTTTTTTTTTTAGCCAACACATCAAAGCATTTTCTGAACAGCTCCCTGATGCTGTGTGTCACTGGATTCCTGTTTAAATCTATTTAAACGTGATAAAATGTTCACACTGTCAAACAACATGTTTGCTGCAAAATGGTTAAAGCCAAGCTAAGGATCACAGCTAAAATAGCTCAACAACTGTTAACAACTGTTAAATCACAGACAGACATTATGCTCCCCAGAGGACGACTCGGGGATCTCCTCACTTTTAAAGTTTTCACTTCTAATTAATGGACTAAAACATACTCATAGTTCCTAGAAGATTAAATCTCATGAGTACAGGTGATTTTCTGACTTCCTCAAAACATGTAGCAGCTACATTGGTCCACAACATGAAACCGCATTAGTTTCACAATAAAGGCTATAATGTCAGTTGAATTTCAGGTTTCTTTTACGTCACACATAATAAGCTCCATGTCTTAAGGTAGAGAGAATGTGTAAACCACAATATTTTCTCCCACGAGACAGGAGTGTGTCAGACCATTGTTTTGGGGCATTTCTCTTTTTTTACACTACAAAAATACTTGGTTAAGTTTGGGCAGGCCAACTACTTGGTTAGGTTCAGGAAAAGATCCTAGTAGGTAGGTATTTCACAATTTTATAGACTTGTTTGGGAAAATAATGTGTTGTTTTACACTGTGGACCAGCATAGCTATTACACATTTTTTTGTAGGACTGGGCTGCATTTTTTATTTTTTTTTTTACATGATTTGACATTTTTTGGTTCGAAGTGAAGTGACTTTACAGCTACTGGATGGACAGACATGGAATTTGGTTTAAACATTCAGACTCACTCTGGATAAACTGTAATACCTTAATGATCCTCTGACTTTTCATATAGTCCCATCATGAGAACAACGTTTTATTTGGACTGATACTTTGGTTTATGGCCAAATACCTGCATTGCCCCGAGCTTTACCTTGTGTTAAAGATTCATTAGAAAACGGTAGCATGCTAAACTAACATGATGAACGTACTGTACCTGCTAAGCATCACGTTGTTATTAGAATGAAATTTTAAGCAAAAAACAAGTGCCTGCAAGGCTTTTATAAATGTACATGTCTGTGTCAACAAAGACACTTTTAAGTGCACAAGAAATCGGTGGGCTTAGTGGTTTTATTCAGATTCTTCTTCGAGGGGTTATCTTTAGTTCTTTTGCAATGGGATTTTTCCAAAATGTGCTTCCATACAAAGACAGTGTTTTGTGTGTGTGTGTGTTTTTTTTTTCATTCCATAGAAAGTTGCCCAACAGCTCAAGCAGCTGTTCTAAATATAAACTACATCATGGTACCTTTATCTAATTGCTGTGGTCATGTGATGACATCCATAAATTGTGGAACGAGGTCATCGACTCCTCCTCATTTTTCCTGTTTAACCTAATATCATGTTTCTTTTTGACACAGTTACAGTTTTCTCTGCCAACAATTCTTTTATTTCATCCATCCATTAATTATCTATACACTTAATCCTCACCCTGGACAGGTAACCAGTCTATCACAGGGCCACACTTAGAGACAGACAACCAAGCACACTCACATTCACACCTACGGACAATTTACAATCACCAATTAACCTCAACATGTTTTTGGACTGTGTGGGAGGAAGCCGGAGAACCTGAAGAGAACCCACGCTGCACGGGGAGAACATGGAGACTCCATGCAGAAAGATCCCAGTGCCCCCACCAGGACACGAACGGCCCTCTTTCATTTTATGCTGAAACAAAAGCAAAAAAGAATAATGCTGCAGCAGACTGTCCTGCATGTTCCTACATAAACTGACAAATTGGAAACCGTTAGATTGTTTTTAACAGACACTTACGTATTTGCACAACTTTGGAACACAGTAGTTTAACACTATGTCTTATTTATGTGTTTATTTATTATTTTATTTCTACACAATTCTTGCATAAATAATTTTTTGCAAACTCCAAGCTTCTGGCTGGTTTGTGGAGGTATATTCTTGTATTTTCTGTTCGTGTAGTTGTCGTAGGTATATATATTAACTCATGTTAAAACCTGTTAAAAATCAGTACAAATGTAACGACAGTAATATGAAACTGTTTGTTGCCTTCAGGGACACAAAGGTTTGGCGGGTGAGCCTGGAAAAGATGGCGTGCCCGGAGATAAGGTATGCAAAGAGTGGAAACACAAATCAATAAAACTTTCTTTGTGCCTTACATCTAACACATGCTGGACCTTGGTTGCTCTGTTCCCGCAAACTATGCAGTTCCAGTAACAGGTTATATGACTGGAAAGATATTGATACCAAGAACAACCTGCACATAAATGATTTGATTGCAGCCTACAAAGAGCTTAATATGATTAACTCTCTTCTCACAATTTAATTACTTTGTTCCTTGTGTTTTTCCACAGGGAGATGCTGGAGAAGCCGGTCCTCAGGGACCACCGGGTCGCATGGGAGATGATGTAGGGAAACACTTCACTGTGTATGAACATTACTTATGTGTCTTTAGAGTAGTGAAAAAGCAAAGTGTGTTCTGTCATTTCAGGGACAAAGAGGACCCATCGGATTCCCTGGAGCTGCAGGAGAGAAGGGAGACAGAGTATGTTTTGCAATGACGACACAGACGCTTGTGACTTTGTATTTGTGGATAAAAGCTCACTCTTTTATGCTTGCAGGGTCCTCCTGGTTTCAACGGCGTCCCTGGACCCACTGGCCCCCCTGGAGCTCCGGTAAGCAGTCTTGGTTTGATCAGTTTTATGTCCTCTGCTCTCCTGACATTTGCTCTCAGATCAACAAGTGCAGGATGTAACTGACATCGAATCGTCCGACAGGGCGTGGAGGGAATCCGTGGACGTCAGGGTTTGCAAGGGGAAAAGGGCGACGATGTGAGTGCCACCTTTTGATTCTTGGATCCATTGCAAAATTTGACTTGAGAAACTATTACGAAATAAAAATTAAAAATTGCTTGGGCCTTTATTAGGGAGCTGTGGGACCTCAAGGAGAGCAGGGTCCTAAAGGAGACCAAGGAGAAGTTGTAAGTCTGCTGTATCCTGATGATGCTGAACAGTTTTTTTTAACGGTGCATTCTTTCTTTAGCATGCCTCTGTTTGACTGTGTTGGTGTGACGTTACAGGGAGAGCCTGGTGCAGACGGCTTGGATGGACTTGCTGGAGCTAATGGTGAAAAGGTGACTTTTGAAATCCACATATGGAAAGTTAAATATTGAATTACCCAAGATTTATTTATGTATTATTTTTTACTAGTCAGAGTACATGATGTTTTGACTATCATAGTAAACTACAACTCACTCAATACACCTCATACAATCGTGGAAATAAAAGTGGAACAGGCGATATTGGCCATCCCTGGTTCCAGAAGTGAAAGTCCCAGTTATTGTTTTAATGGAAAATGTCACGTGACACACCGTCCTAGTTAAATCACCACTGCAAAAGATTTAAAACATGAGAGGAAATATCTCATTCTTGGATTAAAAAGTTGAGGGTAGAAGCCAGTCTGTCAGAAAAAAGCATCCATTACGCTGTTGAGGTAACTAAAAACATCAGCATCCATCCCAAAGCAGCCAACAAGCTGATCTACTGGCAGTAAAGTCTGGATTAGTTGCAAAATGTCCCATCCTGATTATTATATATAAACATACTACAAGCTAAACAACTTGTTTGGAGGCATGTTATCTACGACCACTCTTAACCAATCAGACCATAAATTGCTGAGATTTCTCAGAAGGAACCCCTAAACCTCCTAAACATTGACTCTTTGGGGAGAACTATCTTTCTAAATGACATCCTGTGCGGCTGTGGTAGAGCGAGTCGGTCGATGATCGGAAGGTCGGCGGTTCGATTCCGCCCTGTAACCTGTTTCATGGTCGCTGTGTCCTTAGGCAAGACACTTCACCCACCTTGCCTGGTGTGAATGCGTATGAATGGATTGTTTGAGGTGGTGGTCGGAGGGGCAGAATGGCAGCCACGCCTTTGTCAGTCTGCCCCAGGGCAGCTGTGGCTACAATCGTAGCTACCACCACCAGAATGAATGCGTGTGAATGAATAATTGACAGTGTAAAGCGTCTTTGAGTGTCTAGAAAAGCGCCATATAAATCTGATCAATTATTATTATTATTATCCTGGTTCCTCAAGTGGAAATGCAGGTAAAGGAAGTAAGTGTGTCCAGATGTTTCCCAGGTAAATGCTCCTAATGAGTCTTTTGCATCCAGTCTGACTCATGCCTCTGACTGATATAGACTTTGTTGTGCCAGAATTTATGGAGGAAACAAATTTTTCAGAAACTACATTAAAACAATGAAAAACCGGTGGATGTAACAAAAACCCACAGGTTTGTTATCCTATCCAGGAGAGTCTTCTGCTCTAATGACATCCTTGATGAACGAGGCCGTGTACTGGCTAAATGTCTGTTTTTAATGTTTTCAAAGTCTTCAAGCAAATAACCACTCAGTCAGACGGAAAGAACGAGTCTACTCGTGTCTAAGTTTGAACGACGGTAGAAAACAGTGTGTTCGTCCCGTCTTTACTGAAGATCTCCACATATAACAAACACACAGCAGCGTTACATTCAATAGATGCTCCAGCATGTCATTGCTCAGCGTCTGTTCCTATTGGCTGTTCATTCTAGGAATTCTAAGCCTTAAACTAAACGAAGTACAAATTATAAACATAGTAATGCACTTATACTGTAATCATACATTTTCTGTAATATGCAAATACTAAATATATCCAAATAGTAATAACTGGATATGAGCATAAATCATTGAATAGAAAATGGCACCAACAGGCCGTATGAGACGACACCTGCAAAACCTGAAAGTGTAATAAACTCCCAGCATGTAAAGTGATTGAGTGTCACTTTAATGCAGATAATTAACAAAAATAAGAGCAAATATGGCCAAAGATCAAATCACGTTTTAAAATCTGTCGTGCCAGGCGTGACCTGTAACTCATTCTATCAATCACAAATGAAAAGATTTATTCTTAAGCAATAAAACAAGTACTTGTTCAGTTCAATACATTCACTGCTACAACCAAACTCTGCCTCGTACCAATATTAAGCTATGCTGGCACATGTCTGCTGTGTGACTGACGTTACTTCGTCCATTTGTTGACATTCAGCAATTGTGCTGCTGTTGCCACTTAGGACTAAAGTAGCCATCGCTCAACAAAAGCTGATGCTCCTACACATCGATGTAACCCTATTTGTTCATTATACCTTTGTGCATAAACTGTGCATCTGCTCAACAGGGAGAGCCTGGTACTCCTGGAGCTAGCGGTGTCAGAGGGATTGTGGGTATTCCAGTAAGTCCAACTTTATTTCCATTTATTCTCTTTCTATATCAGCAACTGTCTGTTACCGTCTACAATTCAATTACACTGGATTTGACTTTCGAGAGTGACGTTCTCACTGCAAATCAAGTGAAAGCAAGAAAAAAAAATGACAGAAGATGAGCTCCTCTCTGAAGCTGCACAGCAGTTTGGATAAAATCAAACATTAAAGTCACCGGCAGGAAGGAGACTCTCATGCCAAGGGCGCATCTACCTGCCTGTAGGACTGTGAGATGAAAGGCTACAGATGTGGCTCGAATAGCAAAACTTCAGGTGCAGCGCAGCAGAAGAAGGACGGCGTTTTTTCTTCCCTTATCTCCTTATTTCTTCAGATAAGCCGTGCGCCGTCCCCTGTTGTACTTCTGCTGTGAAGTTCAGGCTGTTTCTAACTGCTCTCCTTGAACTTTTTTCTGAGCGAACCATTTCTCACACAAATTAAAACATATGAATATATTTTCTGATCCGACTAAATTGAATCTTTTTCCTGGTAATGTTTTTTTTTCTTACTGACAAGCAATGGCACAATAATTTCCAGTTATTTTTTTCTCATGAGATGTTGTTGTTCCCAGGGCCTTCCAGGGAAGCAAGGAGTAGTTGGGCCCCCCGGTGAAAAGGTAATTGGAATCATCTCCCGTTTTAATGAGCCGTGTCCTTGTAGCGTATCCAAAATGTTACTGCTGCTGACAACTTCAGTAGAAGTCCCACTTTGAGGTTTGAGCTGAGAGAATTAGGAATATTTCTGGCTAATGCAGTGCCATCCCTGCTGTGGATTTAGGGTGAAACCGGTGCTGAGGGAGCGGTCGGGCCAGTTGGACTTCCTGGAAAAACTGTGAGATTCCCGCCATTAAACTTTCTGCCACACTCAAAATATGTTGATTTGTTTATTGCATGTTCTGGCTGATGTATTTCCAAACCCGTCTGTCCATATAGGGTGAAGCTGGAAACGATGGGGAAGATGGAAAACCAGGAGATAAAGGAGCCACTGTGAGTTTATATTTACTCCTGTCTTCAAGTTTTTCTTTTGGTTTCTGTGTGAAATCAGAGTTGGTTACACGTCATTAAAGACATTTCAAGTACTCCGCTATGGATGCTTCAAGTAATGTTGTCGATTTACAGGGTGAGACAGGAAAACAAGGGCCAGTGGGGCCTGCAGGTCCAGCAGGAATCCAAGTGAGTCAAACTATATTACAAACCACGTTTTTCAAGTATTCACCACCTCAGAAACGTTTTGTCTTTCGCTTCGCTTTGGTTTCAAAATGTCAAAAATGATTTAAAAAACAAATAAAAAAATGTAAATCCTAGTTTTTTATCGTTTTTTTTGCTCAAGTATAGTATATAGATTGTGAATAGAAAGCTTTAGCAGTGAAACGGATGTAAATGAAGAGGAGGTGTTGTAGTTTCCAGTTTGGCCATAGGGTGGCAGTGTTCCCTCGCTGTTTCAGTGCTAAAAATCAGACACAGTGATGCAGAAAACTGTCTGTTTGGGTCATTGTCACAGTAGCATGACCTGATTAACAGGTTTAATGCAGGGATAGGTTTTGGTGACAACAGCTCTGCACAAATCATTTAAAGCAGAACCTGAGCATGAAAACTGACAAAGCAGTCCTGAATGGCACAACAGTAAAATATGTCAAATTAGTGATCCTAAAAGAAGTTAGGACTGTTAAAAGAATCTGATATGGTTACCTGAGTCGCCTCAAACCTGCTTCTGTAAATGGACATGCATGTTGTTGAATGTAATATTTTATACAGTGAATGTAAAATAAATGTTGTATTTCAAGGGCGACAAAGGAGATAAAGGTCAGACTGGTGCTAAAGGACTGAAGGGTCATACTGGGCACAAAGGTGATCAGGTGAGAAAGATCTCTTTTTCTTTCCTTTTGTTTTTTTAACCAATGTTACACTGAAACACTGATTATGATGAGAATCTAGTCTAGTCTATGTAAATATGGGATTTTTTCTCATGTTTTCTTTAGGGACCTATTGGACCAGATGGACCAAAAGGAAGCCTGGTAAGAACTCCAATCTGTGAACAGCTTCTCACAGTCTTTCCAACAGTCTAGTATTTATTCATTCACTGTGTTATTTTTATCAAACAGGGTGACACAGGGTTGCCAGGAGATCCTGGGGTCAAGGGAGATCAGGTACTTGATTTCTCACATTTTTTTTATAAAAGCAACTAAACACACTCGTCTGCAACAGTATTTAAATGAGTTTAACTCGTCTTTGTTTGTGTTTCAGGGCCCGCCTGGCATTCAAGGAGCCAAAGGAGAGGTATTCAGAAACTACCGTCTGCTCTAAACTGTTGCCTTTTTGCATAGAAACTGTTTGACAACACCTTCATTTTATATACACAAAACATTTACATTTCAATATACATCTTAATATATTAGACAGAAAACCCAACAGAAGGACAGAACCGTATTACCTTAAATGTACAACATCCTACTGTTAGTATGAACCGTGACACCGCCGTGTTATTGACTTACGTCTTTACCATCAGCTTGGAGAAAAGGGCCAAAGAGGAGCTGCTGGAATCGATGGCAGACCAGGTCAGCCAGGACACGAGGGTTTGGCTGGTCCGATGGGAGCTCGAGGTCTGGAGGGAGAACCAGGCCTCCCTGGATCACCAGGCCCCAGAGGTCTACCAGTAAGTGATACCAGTATGAAGAACATATCCACTTCAGTGGAACATCAGGAGCCTTGAGGAGCTCATCTTTGCCTCCATGTCATACTGGTAGCTCCTGGTATTGCAGTGTAGGCCTTTTGGTGTAACACTGAAGTCCAGTCTGATCTTAACAGGTTGATGATTTGCCACAAAACATTCATGTTCCCCAGATGATGTATCCCTTTGATTTGTGTAATGGCCTGAATGTTGTCTCAAATTGTAATAACTTTAGCGATTCCACACAAGCATCAGGTTTTAATTCTTCCACCACTTCTGTTGTCAACCAAGTACAAACCTAATGACATTCCCATCAGCCTCAGCTGTATGTTTGTGCAAAGTGGAAAATGTTAGCATGTTAAATCCTAAGATAAGATGGTGGATATATACCTGCTAAACAACTATATAGTAGCATTATCATGCTAGCATGTTAGCATACCAACATTAGCATTTAGCTCAGGCACCAACCTCCCTTTTTGATTTTTAACTCAGTTTGTGTGTTCTGTTCATCCAGATGCTTCCTTCAGTGACTTGTACCAATCATGGTTTTGAATTCACAGGGCCCAAAAGTGAGCGATGAGAAACTTCGGGAAATGTGCTCAGCTGTTGTCGAAGGTGCAGTTTGTTCACTTTAATCTGATTTTGAGGCACCCATGTCCCTGCCTGTATTTAACGCATGATAAGACCCGTTACCAAGGATACATTGTGTGTTGAGCTCATTTGTTTTCTCAATAGAACAATTAGCAGAGTTTATGAAAGAGCTCCTGAAGAAGCCGGCAGCCATTGGGGCTCCTGGCACCCCTGGACCGGCCGGGCCCGCCGGACCTCCTGGACCAGCCGGAGCGGCAGGAGCAGCAGGTGCTCCGGGGCCGAGTGGTCCTAAAGGCCATCCAGGCTTCTATGGACTTCCAGGCGCGCCGGGCAAGAAAGGTCAGTGTGACATTTCAAACCCGATATCTATTAGTGAATAATGAACTGCAGCCAAACTAATAGAACCAAAGCTGCTGAATGGAAGCAAATACTGTATGTGTTTCAGTCACACCAGGATAGATAAGCTGTGAGGGTATGATGGCTTTTTGCTTTCCCTTTATTATCCTGGAGAGCTTCCAGAGCTGCAGCAGTGATAGTGGACAGAAATTAAATGAGGCCTTTAGAAAACACAAGGCTGTCAGCCCTGGCAGGGAGTCTTTGTCCTCACACCGCCACAACAAATGCTGTGGGAAGTTATGCAGAGTGCTCCGCAGCGAGAAGGGATTCACCCATGCATGACATTATACAATCAATGATGCACTAAACAAGGCTGAATCAGAGCGAAGTCATTATGTTGTGTGAAAACAGTATGCCTCTCCATTTCATCTCAGTATTAATGTGTGGCTCTGCAGGTGATGCCGGTGCAAAGGGAGACAAGGGAGACAAGGGAGAGGACGGTGTGGGAATCAAAGGAAGCCCAGGCGCACCAGGTGCAGCAGGTAAGGCTGGATTCTTGTCATAATTAGAGCACAACACAGCTGAGAGGAAACCATGGGCCTTCAAAATGTCTAAACATTTACTGGATCCCTTTTTAAATAGCAGGCATCCTGAAATAGAAATTCTCCTCCCTTTGCTATTGCCCAATTTTTCAAAAACTAAGTAACATGGCTGTGAAGATGTGCAGTCGGCCTGTGGGTGTCCTCCTGGCACAGGCCTGTACAGCCTACAGATGCTGAAAAAAGACCCGGTAATTAACCCATGAAGGCTTGAACTCGTACCACTGACATCTGTTCCAGTTTATGGGGACAGGTGTCAGTGAGTTTTTGTTCCACTCAGAAAGTGGAAGCACTCAAGATAAGCTACCTGGTTTCTAGAGGACAGCTTAGCTCGTTAATGTTTGCACTGATTTGTTACTTTTGTTTCGTCTTGTTCCCATAATTTTAATAATTATTTTAGTTCTTGCTGAGTCATTCACAGCCACTAAGAGCCCTTCAATGACTTGGCACTCATGAAATGTAAATGTCTGCAGCAGATTTGTCCCAAATTTGTGGTTGATTTGCGGCAAAGACATTAGTCTGCCAACAAGTGATTGATTTTCCTTTCAAAATTTAGCAGCTGCAAGGACAAAAGACATTTTAAAGTTTCCCCTACAAATGAATAATGAATAAATCTTCTTGCTGCTGCTGTGGTACGCCATTACGATTCTGCACAGAGTACAAACCGTCTTTTTCTTTGTGATTATTTGAAGTGCTCCCACATCTTCTTTCCTCCTCCTAAGTTTTCAGCAACTTTTAACTCAAACCATTTTGGTCTCCACTACAACCATCTTTTTTTTTTTTTTTTTTGTTAAACTGAGCTTTGCGACCAAAAACGAAAAGACAAGGCGATTATGTGGTGAAGACAAGTCATGTGTCAATTTAATATGTTGATGTTGGTAGATTTTAGAATCCACTTCAACAATAGTTCAGGCCAATCACAGCAGATCCAGACAAGACATATATGTGATCATTACTTTAACTGGATTTTAATTTCATCCATCCATCCATCTTCTCCTGCTTATCCGGAGTCGGGTCGTGGAGGCAGCAGCCTTAGCAAAGCCGCCCAGACTTCCCGATCCACACACACCTCCTCCAGCTCTTCCAGGGGGACCCCTAGGCGTTCCCAGGCCAACTGGGAGACATAGTCCCTCCATTGTGTCCTGGGTCTTCCCCGAGGTCTCCTCCCGGTGGGACGCGTCCAGGAGGCATCCGGAAAAGATGCCCGAGCCACCTCAGCTGGCTCCTTGGAGGAGCAGCGGCTCTACTCCGAGCTCCTCCTACGTGACCGAGCTCCTCACCCTATCTCTAAGGGAGCGCCCAGCCACCCTGCGGAGGAAACGCATTTCGGCCGCTTGTATCCGCGATCTCGTTCTTTCGGTCGTTACCCAGATCTCATGACCATAGGTGAGAGCTGGGACGTAGATTGACCGGTAAATCGAGAGCTTTGCTGCCTTGCTCAGCTCTCTCTTCACCACAATGGTCCGGTACAGCGACCACAATACTGCACCGATCCGTCTGTCAATCTCACGCTCCATCCGCCCCTCACTCGTGAACAAGACTCCGAGATACTTGAACTCCTCCACTTGAGGCAGGGACTCTCCACCGACCTGGAGAGGGCAAGCCACCTTTTTCCAGTTGAGAACCATGGCCTCGGATTTGGAGGTGCTGATCCTCACACTCGGCTGCAAACCGTCCCAGTGCACACTGAAGGTCCTGATTTGATGAAGCCAACAGAACAACATCATCTGCAAACAGCAGAGATGAAATTCTGTGGTTCCTAAACCGAACCCCTTCCTCCCCCTGGCTGCGCTGAGAAATTCTGTCCATAAAAATAATGACCAGAACCGGTATTTTAATTTCAGTTTGACTGAATAATATTTAACGGTTTGTATGTCCACCTCAGGTGCACCTGGCGCCCCTGGCATTGGCAAGGACGGCAAAGACGGAGCGCGTGGTGAGGGTGGAAGTCCTGGTGTTCCAGGAGCTGCTGGTCCGAGGGGGCCCTCGGGACCACCTGGCCTTTGTGATCCATCAACCTGTATAGGCAGACTTCCACCTCTCTATATGGTCAGCGGGAAGAAATCCGCCAGCTACAAAAACCCATGAGACCTCCCAGCTCATTGACACATTCCAGATCTCATCCTGCCAGTGACCACGTTTCAGGGCCTCTCACAAGTCCAGACGTGACGATCTTCAGAAGTCTCCATCTGAACCACGGATCGAAGAGACGAAAAGGGAAACAGAGACGAAGCACAATTGTAGATTACTGTAAAGACATTTTTACTTGTATGTGATTTTAGAGAGAGCTTATCCATTGTGCAAAGATGGCTGCCACGCGCTGATGCAGCTTCTTCCGGGTGACGACAGGCCTGCAGGCCCACAAGCTGCCTCGTTCAGTATAAGCCACTATGACCCCACTGCATTCAGCCACCCAGGTTGTAAAACATTCTAACTCTCTCTGATTTCCTTGCATGCATTTTATTCATTGAGTAAACTCACTCAAAAGTTTAAAAAAAAAAAAGAAAAAAAAATCTCCTCTATTAGCTAATTTTAAAACCCTGTGAAGCAGAACCAGGTGCCACCCGTCATCACTTTATGTTAGGAGCTGCCAAAAAAATAATGAACATAAAAGCTGACCTGACGTCTCCAACCATGTGCTCTTTCATTTACAATCACACATTTGTTTTCCTGATTTGTTTTCATATTATTGTTCCTTCTCTGACATTGTAATAAAGTGATATGTTTTGGACGTGTTGTACAGTACCGTATGAAAGCACACAGTCCGTCTCAGAGCTGCTGCAAGCCGCGTTCTGTTGAACAATTAAGCAAATGGGTTTTAACAAATGATGGCTGATATTCCACCGCCTCTCTACAGTAAAATGCTTTTGTGTTGAAAACAAAGTCCCCTGGTTGTTATGGATATAATGTTGATTCAGGAGGGCATTTCACAGTTGCCTGGTTACAAAGCAGAGTCAACATCATCCCCACCTCTGTCTGCACAGCATAAATACATTCACAGATCAAATATGACCTTTAAAGCAAGCTGCTGGAAAGGAGTTAGGAACGCAGCCATCCCAAGGACATGCCTGGGATCTGACAGATCTCATCACGGCTCGGAGACAATGGGTTTTAAGTTGCGTGCTGTAAGTAAAAGCATGCTCAAGGCTCGTAAAATCTGATTCAGCAAGAGACTGGTGTTTGATTTCCATATTCAGCTTACAGATATTAAACATGATGGATGTCAGAAGAGCAAAGAATACCTCTAATGTATTATCTCATAAATGTGTAAGTGATACAACTAACCCGAGGCTCTTAGACGCTTGAAATAAATGTCATTAAAGAGATGTACATTTACGGAAAACGACTCGGAAAGTTTTCAATTCAACTGGGGCTGTTCAAAAAAAAACAAAAAACAAAGGCAAAGCCTGTATTATAAAATGAATCTGTTCCAGTCTTTATTATACAGTACAGTACAGGTGTCTTTCCAATACTTACAATATGCTACTATTTTAAAATATCTTAGCACCAATTTATCAGGAAAAAAAATTTAAAAAAAATGGGAAAAGGGTTAATAAATTTTACTTAATACTTTCAAACACATTTGTATTTATTCAAATCATGAATAATTTAGCAGTATAACTTAAAAGTCCGGCCTTTACGCGTTACAAACGTGAAGCTGTGTGCGTCCCACCCTGTAACGCAAAGTCTGCTGGTGTGACTGTAACAAGCATTTACAAAACCACAAAATACTCTTCAATAGTAAACCGCTGATAGAGAAATAGCTAAGAGATGTACTAAAGGGTAGAAAGGTCGTTTAGGACTAAACGTGTTTCTGAACATACTGTACATTTACATTTGACTGCGTTTAAAGCTGCTCTGCGTCGCTTTGAAGAAAGGAGCCGACATGTACCGCAGCCAACCAACATCCGCTCAGAGCTGCTCTGAAGGCAACGAACATCTAATGAGTTAAACCTCAAAGGAAACGACCGCTCTAATGAAACATCAGAAAGTCAAGATGTAAAAGCAAATATATATATATATATACGGCCATGATGGAGTTTTATAAGCCAGTTAGTTAGCCGAGCTGATCAGCCAGTTCTACACATGGAGTTTTGTATATTAACCTCAACATGACCAGGAAATAATGAATAGTAGGTCAAATTCATTTGATTTTAGGTTCACATTTACGACTACTTTCTTTAAAAATTTCAAAGAACTCAACAGTAACAAGGTTTGCTTTAAAGTGAATATCAACATACGAGGCCAAGTAAAGCTGTGGCCACCACTGATAGTGATATTCTACTTTTTCTAAACCAGTGATGTCGTGGGCCTGCATTTTCACCAATTTGTTGCAGAACTATTTCATCCCCACATCAACTGCATGTTTCTGCTTTTTATTTTTAGTTGGGGAAACAAAGCAAGATGGCCGACCTCGTGTTGTTTATCTGTAAGACTTAATCATCTTCTTGCAAATATTTACTTTTGTTGTACACTGAGCTGTTTTAACATTTAATACCTGAACGTGAGCATCTAGTAATTAACATCAACAGTAATGTAATTTTGACTACTCGTCTTTTTTAAATTCTAGATATCTACAACGTCACACTAACCAGTCAAAATGACAGTTAAAGATACCTGCAGTTCACTTTGGACTAGTTGGAATAATAGCTGCAGATATCTTAAATGTCGTTATTACTGGGCAGAAATGTTGTGCATGATGGATGCAGACATAACAGCTGCTGTTGCGACGTATGAGATTGGTAGAAATTGCCCCAAAATACAAAGAGCTGAAGTTTTTTGAAGAACATTCATTCAAGACTTCAACGGCTCAGACTTGGTGGTAAAACTACGCGACATGCAGTCTCACAATACGCTGAAAAAAAACTTTTTCCTCACTTGCAGGAGCCTGTGATCTAACTACAGATATTTGCAGTATAATTTCACGCAGTCAAAACTTTAATTAAAGATATTTGTAATTACATTTTGTTTGGACAGAATTCCAGTCTGACGTCTATTCGATCATTCTGACTGGTTCATTTAGGATATCTCAACTAGTCAGAATTAAATTGTAGATATCTGACAACTGGAAATAATTCAGGTGCAGATGTCTGCAATGTGAATTGTGAATATCTGCAGCTGCATTTTAATGAGAATTTGAAATGAGAAACCCGTAAAGGTGACATTATTTGTCCTGGAAGAATGCCAATGTGGATATCTGCAAGTCGAGCTATTAAATGTTAAAAAATTCAATATACAAATATGCACGAGCCAATTATGAATACTGCTGGTATGTCCAAGACAAATGATATGTTCAATACAATTTTCATTCCCAACAACAAACAACTTTTTGGGATACAACTAGTAATTAGTAAACCAGAATGAAAACAGTTTGTACATTCATGGAAATGCAAATGAAATGGATCAAATTTAGGACGAGTCTGTTTCACTGACTCGTGTTGCTTTAACTCAACATGTGAAATAACGTGTGCCTCCAGAACAGCCTGAGAAACGTTGGCCAGCCTGAAAACTCCAGTCCGCTTTAACCAACACCGCAAAAACTAACCGGTGTCAGAGTGGCACCTTCACATTCTTCATGAATGACCTTCCACTAAGTAACCTGAGCAAAGGATGAAAAGTACGACTGGCCATATTATAGTGAGTCATATTGTACAGTTTGGCAAGCTCACAAAAACTTTTATGTTGCTTTCTACAAATTTTGCACTCAAACTTCCTGCAGCGGTCACTGATGTGTTTCTTCATGTTTCTGAAAGGAAGATGGATGTGACACCTTTAGTGGAGGCTACTTAACAGGTTCTAGATGACCAGGAAGTCTGAGGTTAGGGAGAAGTATAATTGGTCCATGAGGGACGTGAAGGCAAAGCATCTTTCAAATGGCTACCACAATGGTTTGGTCATCAAGATGCAGGAAAGCAGGTCTCCCAATTTTAGGTTTCAGGGGACAAATAAGAAAAGCAATGTGTTTTCAGAGCAAGGCTGAGCTGCCCGGTCGCTGCCACAGCGCAGGCACTTAATAAGCCTCACCGAACACCGAGGAAGTGGCACATTTAGAGGAAGCAGTGTGAAACAGGCAGCTTTTCAAGAAAGGTGAACAAAGGCTGCAATTATACCACCTCCTCAAAGCTGTTTGCTACTCAGGTCTATGCATAGCTCCGAGAGAGAGAATGACAAGAGCCACTTCATTAAACATGAAAGTACAACTCCAGCGATGACATTTTTTCCTGTCTTGACGTCTGCTGCCTTTAAACTCCGGTTTGGGAGGAATCCTTTGGGTGAGTCTGGAACAAATCAGAACATGGCATGCACAGTATTTTGGGCAGATTTGTGTGCAAATTTAAATTATTTCCTTTTTCTAATAAATCTGATATCTATTGTTTTACACAAAAAGAAGCATAGATTTTGAAATGAAACCCTTCAAATCTCTCCCCTGTTGCTGGGATGCTAATTTATGAGTTGTGACAGTGAGGACGTTTCTGCCGCCTCCAGTTTATTCCCCCGAAAAAAACTCAACAACAATGGTTTCCTTCACGTCTAAACATATCAGACTTGTTCATTTTAATAAATAAAGCCAATTTGTTGAGGGGTGGATTTCTCTAAAACTTGTTTTATTTTTCTGCCTGTTCTAGGATGCCAATACTGCCCAAAATAAGGCCACATAATAACACTGCTACCGGCTTGGAGGCAAAAAAGTGTACAAATGTAGACATTCATCACTCCCCAGACAAACTCATTAATTGTCCTCCCACACAAAACCCCTGCTGGTGTTTGCCTCGCACTGTCTGCCCCCACTTTTCCCATCAATGACAGTATAACGGATAATTCCCTTGACTGAGTAATCACCATCTGACTGGTAGAAGATCCCGAGCCAGAGATGGATTTAGTGACTGACGTGGTGCAGCTGTAACTGGTGCAAAACGGCGTGAGGCAGGAAGGCAGGAAGACGCCCGGCTGAAGGTTTGAGATAATTACTGATGAAATGATAGAATATCAGACTGCCAAATCTTCACTCCTGTTGGGGGGTTGGGTGTTGCACCATCCTTGGTATCTGTATGTTACAAGGAGCATGCAAGTAAGGAGAAAAACTGTTTAGCTGCCCTCTGTAGCCCACAATAGATCCGGAAAAAAAAAGTCCTGCGTTGCTCAACCCCCATCCATCCCAAGCTTCGTAACAAAAACAAAACAAAGAATCTGACCGGCAGCACCTGTTGCTTCAGCCCTCCGTACTGAGGTTAGCTTGAAAAAGAAAAAGTTCTTGATTCAGACTGACACGACCAAGTTCATAAATACAGCCGGACTGCCGGCTCTGTGTGTCTCTTCTTCTTTAAGACCCCTTCACGTTTTTGGTGTGGGGTCTCTGCGCCAGGCTGGCATAGTAGGCACACTGGGAGGGGTCGCACTGGCCGGGAGGACCTGGAGGTCCGGGCTGGCCGTGGGGGCCGGGGTTTCCTGGCTCTCCCTGGGCTCCCGCGGCTCCCGGGCTTCCGTCTTTGCCGTAACCAGGCATGCCGGCTGGACCTGGAGCAGAGAAGAGGAGTGATTATGGACTCTAAACTCGATCGCTGCTGAGAACCAGTACAGGAAGCTAGAGTGTAGCATTACCGATGGGGCCGGGTGGGCCTTGCTCTCCTCTGTCACCTACACCAGGTTCTCCTTTATCGCCCTTTGTTCCTTTCTCACCTGGAAAAACAAGAGAACAGTCAACCGGATTTCTGCACGAGATGTCTTCATAAATCATCCTGAGCAGCTGTGAGGAGATAACACAGCGGGAGGAGGGAGATGATGTGCTTCTAGCCAGCGATCACCTGTGCTGTGTGTTCATGCAGCAGACGTACTCTCGATGGCATATTGTCCATGTCTTTTGTTATATGTTGGAACTAGTGGGATGTATGATGACAGCTCATAAAAAGGCTGAACCTTCTGCTCCCCAAAACCACTTTTTTAAATATCATTAAAATCAAACCATTTATTGGCGCCAGAAACTGTAATAACGGAAGGAATTTTTAGGCTTTCGACTTTCCAATAACCAGTGAACAAATCTGTTTTTTAAGGATTAAACACAAAAGATAAAACGTCAAACAGCAGCAGAGGTGCTTTTAGGTGGATTTTGTGGCCAGGCCAGCTGTTTACCTCTGTTTGAATTTTTTTTTATGCTAAGCTAAGCCTCCTTGGAGCACAGTGGCTCCAGATTCATCACAACAACATGAGAGTCGTATCAACAATTCAATCTGTTTCTTGGGAATAAAGCAAATGAGCGTAATTATTCCTCCAAATTCAT